GAGACAGTCGAACCGAACGGTTCGGACGGTTTTCATAAACCGTTCCATCCCTACTATATAAAACACAAAGAAATCCTTCATCATCTTTCCCGTCGTCAGGCTGCAGCCATGTCCCAAATTCCTCGTTTTTGTTGAAATTTGCATTTTCTCGAGCTTCTTTTATTTCGATATAATTTATCTGAGGAAATTGTTTTTATAATCGTATATTTTTTTTTTAATAAAGGCTATATTCACATTTAATGAATTTTAATGCCAATTAAGGCCTTAATTAAAAAAAAAAATACTAATTTAATGACTTTTAATGATCTTAATGACCAGCGGAAACCTGGAGCGAATAAGCTCCAGATTTCTCTTTAAACTCTGATGATTTTCCCTGATTTTCTCCAAACATCCGATGCTTCCGTAGTTCTGACTCCTCCGTTTTCTCCAGTTTTTCCAGGATCTCCCTCCGGTGCGCGACCCTGCCTACCTGGCTGTCAATCCCTCTGAGGAAAACTACGACGTGGTTTCCAGTGTGATTCCAAAGCAGCCTAGAGGAGTCTGAGCTGGACCATCGCCGCCGTGCGGCTGCCTGGACCACCGTGCGGCTGCCTGGACCGCCGCCGCCATGCAGCTTCTCCTGAGGAGGAGTCGGATCTCCTGCTCTCTCTGCTCAGACTGAACACTTTCCAGAACCCTGGTCTGACCTCAGGGAGGCGGAGCTGCTGAGCTGGACTGATTTCAGCTCCATCTGTCTGGATCCTCGGAACCAAGAGACTGAGCCGCTACAGAACCCAGCAGAACTCATCCCCACTGAAAGACTCATTTTAATATTTATAGATTTCTTTTTAGACCCTAATCTGAGCCTAGGGAAGCTGGAACTGGTTCTGTGTTTTTACAATGATTGGATCAGGTGGTTCTAATGTTCTGGTTTATTTTAAACATTTACTTTTGGTTCCTTTAACCGTGAAACGGTTCCCCTAAACTGATCTGGATCAGAACCAGCCGCTCCTTCCACTAATCCTCCCTCCTGGTTGCTGCAGTCAGAACCTGACGAGTCTAGAACCCGTTTTCTCTGCCGGATCAGAGGAAGGCCGTCTGTCAGATGTTCTGTTACGTTTGGCTTCGGGGGAAACCCGATGTGGTTCTGGGTCCGACCGCAGCAGAACCAACAGGTTCCTGTTATTTCTACGTGTGTAAAATAAAATGTAAAAATCAGTTTCTGAGGTTTTTCTTCAGCTTGCTGCTCCCGGAGCTGATCGGAACCAGAGGGAAGTTCAGGATTCCCCGCCTGATCCGATCGGCGTCGGTTCTGGATGAAAACAGGAACTTCATAAAGTTTGCTTTTTGTTTCAAAGCCGCTGCTTCCTCACAGCTGATCGGAGTCTTCGTCAGTAGATCCTGTTCCTTCCTCATCCCAGCATCGGGCCGCCTCCGCCATCATTAAAATGTTTTCAGATCTGCCTTCAGAACTTCGTTTATCGGCTCAACAGTTAGAGATGATAAAAGATCTATAATTAACTAACCTGGGAAGCATTTGATTGAGATACACGATCCATCTGCCCTGTTAGGTTAATAATTAATGATTTATTTAAGGTTTTTGTGCCTCAGAGCGTTAGAAAAGGTTTGGATCTTATTTTCACACCAAAGGTGTTAAAGTTAAAGAGAATCTGCAGGGTTGGAGGAACGGATTCAGTTCTTCACCGTCAGCAGGATCAATCATCTGGTTTGGTTTCATTTTCAAAAAAATGCTTTAATAGATTAGAATTTTTTTTTCAAATATCTTTTTTATCAGTATTAATTTTTTTCTTTCTTTAAATAAAAAATATCTTTTACATTTTGTTTCAATCCATTTATTTTCCTTTTGTGCCATTTTCTTTTAACGGTTTATTTTTTATATAAATTTTATATTAGACTTTATATATTCACTGTTAAAGTAACCTAAATTAATATTATGTTTTTTATTTTAGTTTATTTTTAATTTGGATGATTACTAAACTTTCATTTAGGTTTATTTTATTACAGAATCATTTTAATAAATTAGTAGCGTTAAATAAATGTTTTATTGTACTGCAAACATATTGTCTATTTAATTTAATCATTTACGGGTTGTTTTTTTAGTCTATTAAATTATTTCATTGTGTGACAGTAGAGATTTTCTATTCTAAACTCCTGTAGTTCCACCACCGTCCAGCAGGTGGCGGAAGCGCCGCGCGCTGCTGGTTCTCCAGCAGTAATCGGACCTAAAGGAAGATAAAACAGCCGCAGAAACATCAGAGGGTTTGATTTACGGTAATCTGGGTGGTTTTCGGGGTAATAAGATTAGATAAAGGTGAGTTTTTGTTGATTAAACGTTAATGTTGACATTTTGAACCAGATTCAGTTGGTCTGAGATTATTTAAGGGTTGAATTTTGACAGAATTGGAGCAATTAGAGTGAAAACACTCGATTTTAAAGCTAAATAAAAAGCTTCAGTTACTGTAACAATAAAATGTTAGTATTTAATCGAATCATTTTAATCTCAGATTTAATTTGAGAGGAGCAGAGATTACTGTTTCAGAGAATAAGAGGAAGACGACTTTAAATCGTGAGTTTCTGTAACGGAAATGTGATATTTAGATGATTTTCGACCAGAATCTGGATCAAACTGATTTAATCAGGAAACCAACAGAAATCTGGGCTCATTTTAATCCCAGCAGATGATCAATTCTTGTTAATCCAGCATGAATTCTCCTCCTCTAATCTGTAGGAAAGTGAAACCAAACGCAGACAGAGAGCAGGTCCGTTTATAGAGGCTGGAATCTGGCAGATTTTACAGCCAAATAAAGAGAAGCTGCAAAGTTTCTGCTGAGGCCCCTGGGGGCCCCAGGGAGCCTGCAGCTTTCTGAATCAGTGAGAAATTCAATCTAAGAGGTTTACCTGTAGAGAAGAAGTTCTGCAAGAAGAATCCATCAAACCAGTGGAGCTTCTCTGGAGGAGGCGGCGTGGCCACCAGTGCAGAGCTTATTCATCAGCTGCAGCTGCTGGGATCCAGAAGCTGAGAGCCGCCATGAGGCGTTTGGTCAGACGGGGAAACATCATCATCCAACCTGCTTGTTTGGTCGCTTCTCATCCGCAGCAGCAGCTTTAGTATTAGTGCTGTCGCACCGATACCTGGCTGTGCATTAATGGCCCATACCGATCCCATCTGTTTGAAATGGATGTGTGTCTATATGAAGAACTGGATACTACTGTCATGTAAAATAATTGCCATCATGGCTTCATGTCAAGCTGCTGCCTGCCTTTGTGAAGCAGGAAAAAGACTCAAACAAAGTGAATCCAGTAGAACTTTTTATTGCCTACCTGGTTCGGGTGACAATAGTTGAAGAAACGTTTGGCTCTCAAAATGGTATCGGCCCTATTGGTTAGTGCTCGCCGATACCGATACCACCATTTTAGTGCTGGATCGGGGCCCCGCCTGATACTGGTATCGGTGCAACGCTAATTATTATATAATTACAGATTAATGAAAACCTGCAGGACCAGCAACTTCCACCAGGAAGACGGTTAAAGTGCAGCTATCATATATGCTGTAGAAAGTTATCAGTCATCCAGGTCATTTGAAGACGTTTCTTTTCCATCTAGGAAGCTTTTTCAATTCAAAATGTCAGAACGCTGGAAAAAATCTACATCTAGACAAGTCATTTTTTCTTAAAATAAGTGCATTTGTCCTTGAATTGAGGAGACAAAAGAGACATTTTGCCAATGGAACAAGACAATTTGCATTCAAAATAAGAAAAACTTAATTGCATTGCCTTATTTCAAGTGCATGTTATCTAAATATCTTATTTTAAGAGTTAAAATACTCATTCCATTGTCAAACTATCTAATTTACCTACTCAAATTAAGGGTAAATACACTTAATTTAAGACATTTTTACTTATTTCTAGATCGTTTTTCCAGTGAAATAGCGTTAAGTTCCAGGTTTTATAGTTTGGACCTAAAACCAAACCTTCTGGTCCGCTTTATAAAGGCTCAAACTCAACGCTATTTCTGACATTTTGAAAAAGCTTTCTGGATGGGAAGAGAAATGTCTTCAAACTTGGAAACCATCCTATAGAAGTTCCAGGTTTCTGTTTGGATCTTATTTCAGTGAGAAGCTGATCTGCTCTGGTGCTTAATAACAGAACGAGAAGCAGAAAAGAACTGGAAATATTTCCTGCTTTGGTAACTAACACCTTGAAACGATTAAATTCTAACCAGCCTGTTTCTGCAGCTTCAGAGCCTCTGACCTCCTGAAGGAGCTGCAGGAACCGACAGCCAAGGAGACGGATCGATCGGAGGAAGGAGAACCTGCAGATGGCTGGCTTCCTGGACGGCTTCCGCTGGCCGGAGTGTGAATGGTTTGACTGGGGAGAGAAGAGGAACGCTGTGGCCTCTGTGGCGGCTGGAGCTCTGGTCAGTGGGAGCAGAGGGGCCGGGGAACTTTTCTATTAAACGTCTGATAAACATGTTTATTTATTAATCAGCTGAATGATGTAGCAGCGTATAAAGCAACTGCAAACTCTGGTTTTATGAAAATGAAAATATTTAGAGCTGCTTTCTGCCCCGCATCATCACCCAACATCGTTCCCTGATGTTCTGGATTCTTGGCATTTCTTTGGTGAAAACCAGAGAAAGTATTTCATCACCTCTCCGAGCTTTTAACCAAAAATCATTAAAATAAAACATCTTTACAACATTTTGTAGCTCAAAAGTAAAAAAAAAAAATCTAAAAAGCAGAGTTTTGGTAAGTTTATTACAATAAGTTTTAATATAGCACTTTTAAGTGTTTATTTGTTTAATTTTTCTTAAATCCTACCTTTTGGTTTTTAATCTCTGCTGCAGTTGCACTATTTTGATTAGCTGGCTGTGATTGGTTGTTTTTATCCATCCGGATGTGTCCAAGGCAAATGATTGGATGACGAACACCTGCCTCTGATTGGGTGGAGGTCCCGTTCATTCACACACAGCCGATCAGGGAGGGAGCACAAAGATGGAGGCGAGCTAAATTATCGGAAAATAGTTGAGTTTATGAAGGCGGAGCGTTTTTCTCCACATCAGTCCCTCTGTGCGCTCTGGTCAAAGAACACGGAGTAGTTTATGAATCAGTTTATTGTTTCCTTCTGTCATTTTAATGGATTGTTCTAGAAACTGGTTCATGTTTATCTGCAGGATGGATTCATCTTTCATCGTTTTATCAGGGATCTCAGAGACTCTTTACAGACTAGTTTGGATGAAATCATTAAATAAATGTTTTATTTCTCTGCAGTTCTTTACAGGCTGGTGGGTCATCATCGATGCTGCAGTGATGTATCCGTCTCAGGAAATGATGAATCATTCCTTCCACACCTGTGGAGTTTTCTCCACCATCGCCTTCTTCATGTGAGGATGGATGGATGGATGGATGGATGGATGATGGATGGTTGGATGGATGGATGATGGATGGATGGATGGACGGATGGATGGATGGATGATGGTTTTATTCCAAGATGGCGTCTCTGTCGCTGACTGTTTCTGCCGTCTGTTTCCAGGATTAACGCCGTCTCTAACGGCCAGGTGAGAGGAGACGCCTATGGGGAGGGCTGCTTCGGAAGGACAGGTGATCCGCTGCTCCGCCTCTGGGAGACAGCTAACGATCCGCATCATCGATCCCAGGAGATCTAGATATTCTAGCTCTAATCTCAGTTGTTTCTACGTCCCCAGGAGCTCGTCTGTGGCTCTTCATCGGCTTCATGATGATGTTTGGATCCTTCATCGCCTCCGTCTGGATCCTGTTCGGAGCTTACGTGGTGCCAAGTCAGTTCCTAGTCTTAGTCTCTAAATGTTCTTGTTTTTATCAATCTGAACAGAAAATCAATCTGTTTGTAAACTAGTATGAATAATAAAAACAATTAAACCACCGTTGGGAGCAAACAGGTTGGATCTAAAGACTGTAAACATTTATTTAATTTGGTTTAAAGGCAGACATGTTGTTAGATGTGTAGAGCTGCTGGGCTCTGAAAAATAAACTCTTCACGTTTAAAGGAGTTCCTCAGGGATCCAGTCTCTGGTTCCTCAGATTCAAACACCAAATATTCTGATCGAACTCCCATTCTGTGCTGATGACACTGTGATGTTTAAACAATCAGCTCCATTCAGAAGCATCTTTGCCGTTTATAAGCTTAGATCTGTAATTTGGGTTTGGTTCTCAGGTTGATGACATCACGTTCAGCAACTGTCTCTAAAGTTATTCATGCTGCTGGTTTCCTTTTTTTCAGAGAAAGAAGTGGCTCCTGGTCTGGCTGTGTTCTTTCAGAACGCGCTGATCTTCTTCAGGTGAGCTCAGCTCTGATTGAAAAGGTTCAAACCTCGGAGTCGGATGATGTTTAACTTCTTTAGCAGGACTTTTAAAGCTTTACGTTTTTCCGTCGGTTCCTGGTTTTGATGTCCCGTCTCTCTCTGCAGCTCTCTGGTCTACAAGTTCGGCCGCACCGAGGATCTGTGGGGTTGAACCTCCAGCTGTCCCGCTGTCTTCCCCTCCTCCCGCCTTTTTATTCCTTTCCTCTGACTTTTCCTCAGCTGCGTCTGTAAATATGATCTCAGAACATGAGCATGTTTTTAATTTGCCTCGATCGTCCGCTTCAGGCCGAACTCAAGGAGAAACCGGACTTTTGCTCGGTCGCTGTGAATATTTTAAAGCCACAGTTTTAATGTATCATTTGTTCATGTTAGACATTAAAAGGGGAAATTTCAGGGTTTAAAGAAGAGAAACTTCCAGGCAGATTAAACAGATTTCAGTGTCGGATCAGATGTTTCTAATCCGATAATCCCTGTCTGCTGCTAAAGGTCTAAACGAGCAGTTAGACCCTGGTACTGAGCGTCTCTGAGGTTCTGCTCAATAAATCGGAGGTTCTGACCTGGAAGCTGCTCTTATTGGGGGGGGGGGATTAGCTGCGTCAAACACTGGATTATTTTTACCTGTAGATGATTTAAGGTCTCGCATTTCAGGTTCTGTCTTCTATCGATGCTCGTTTTTTTACATGTAAATATTCAGATATCTGTGTTAGCATGGTCTATGGGGGGAATTTGGTTTCGTCATTGTTGCAAAAAACACATTCTATAAATACAATAATAAAAAAAAAAAAAAACTACCAGAAATTAAACCTTGAAAAAACTTCTTAATCTGGAAGGTTTTTTTTTGACAAACTTTGCTGTTTTTCCCAAATTTATTTTCTAGATTGTTTTTTACAGATTCTTTACTTCAGACCAGCAGACAAACAGAAATGCGTCTTTATTCGTCACTCAGTTAATAAAAACTTAATCTGAAAGACAAATTAAAAGAATTAAACCTGATAAAATAAGAGGAAACTAAAAAAAATAAAATTTTAAAATACAAAAACTAAAACATATAGCAAAATGAAGTCTGGGAAATCAGCAAAGTTACTCACAAAAACTTTTTTTTCAAAGTTTTAATTTTTTCTTTCAGCATTAATTTAAGAAGAATCACTTCATGCATTTTGAGCGTTTTTATTTTTTGTTTTGCTGCAGAGAGTTTAGTTTTTATTGACTCGACCTCAGCAGCAGCTGCTGCTTTGTTCTCTGCAGGAAAATCATCTCTAACTTCTGATCTCTGCTGATTCTTTTTAACGTTTTATCATAAAACAATTTAAGTTTCTTTATCACCTACCAGACAATCCTGTATCTCCCTGTTAATTTTCAGCTGGACTTTAATTGAATCTGTTTCTGATTTTATTTTCACTGAATGAAAAGTAAACAGTCAGTGTCGATGAGAAAAACCTGACATTAAATTATTCTGGAAAACAAACCCCTTCTCTTTATTGCATCTGTTCCTGCTGCTGTTTTTATTGTTTTAGGAATATTTTATGGTTTCTTAAAGACAAAACGTCATGATTTTAGGTTAAGATCTGCAGAGCAACAGATTTTTTAACATGTAAAGTATATTAAAAAGACAGAATAAAGATAAAACAGATTTAGTTCATAGAGTTAAGCAAGGTGAGCGTTCAGAGGCGTCTGGGGTTCAGCACTGTCACACCTGAGCTGCGTTCAAACACTTCTGTATCTGTGATATTTATCCACATGAACCAGATGTGCAGTTTAGGTGTTGATGCACATCTGGACTTCCTTTATTTACCCAGAGCTTTTTAATTTACTCATCTAGTTTCTTATTTATTTTCCAGTTGTTTTTTTAATGCTGAATAAAAGTCCTAGATGTTAATACATGATGGGGAGGAGGTACTATTAAAAAAAAAAAAAAGCTCTGTACCTGAGCAGCTTTACTGGAGCTCAATAAGATGAATAAATAAAGCTGGAAAGTTTGGTGTGCATCAAGGTTCAGCTGCTGCAGCTGCAAATTGTTTCCTTCCAGAAACGACTCTGACTTTCTTTCTCATCTCTGCTGAAGAAAACGATCCTCATATCGTGACACCTGCATGCAGCGCATCACCTTTAGTTAGTTTGCTGCCTGCTTCTCTGCAGCTCCTCCATAGTCACTGCTGGTCATCTGGGTCATTATTTGGATAAAAGCTGTTTCTCTGGAAAACCATGTGGTCAGAAAATTTGGATTTCTTTTATTTTATATATTAATTTATCCCATTAATTCACTATAAAAGTTTTTACTCAGTCTGTTCCACCTGCAAGGCCACACAGTTCTCCAGTGTGAGGATGTTTGTATAGCAAACGTAGCTTCTTCCCAAAACAAACCAGATTCTTTCTCAGGTTTATTCATAACATGTTACTGTTTAACCAAAGCGTCTGTAATTTGTTTTGACTCTGACTATTTTCCATTGTTTTAAGTAAGGAGGAACGAACGCTGCTCAGGCAGAACAGAGCTGATTACAGAGCAGCAAGGGATGAATGATGAACTGTTCTCTCTTTGCAGAGATGAAAATAAAGAGCCGACTGATTAAAATCCATAGATCTCTATTTATTTAACTAGGGTGAATAGTTGAATACTTTTTTCCCACAACACCATGACAGGGAACAGTCTCTTAAACCGATAAAACTTTAGATAAAATCAGTCCTGCAGCTTTTATTCTATATTTATTCTGTGTAGATCAACATAAGATAGATTTAGTTATCTATTTAGAGTTTTCTGCTGTTCTTCTCCCAGATTTCTTAGATTTTTAGTGTTTTATCGATGGGTGAACCTGTTTCTATCATTTCTACCTTTTTTTCTTTACTATTAACACATCTGGATTCTCTGTGGGACAATAAAAGATTTTTTAAATAAATGGAAAAAAAAATAGTCATCTGTTTGTACTTGCTCTTTTCTTCCACTAGGGGCAGCATTGGGCTGCAGCTGAATAACAGGAACTTTGCTCAGAAGCAGGAAATCAGCTGATTACCTGTGAAGTTACAGTGAATGAAGGAGTTCACTTCCGGTCAGAGAAACAGATTCAATCACCAGCTTCAGTTTTGGAAATAAAAACAGAAACACATTGAATTTAAAAAGAAAATAAACATTAACAAACCCAGACAAAAGTGTCTCCAGTGATGCTTTAATGCGTATAGAATGTAATTTTCAAAATGATTTGTTTAAAAGATAATCCACAAAAATACACAAAATAGGAGTAACTATAATCTTATTAAAGGGACAGGCTTACTTTAATACTTTTACATTTGTTTTATTATTTCAACAGCAGAGTTTTGATAATCAAGTTAAGGGTGACAGACACAATAAATAACGTTTAGTTTTGCTTCCAGGTTTCCTTCAGGAAGTTTTCAGGGCTTTTATTTTGAAGGATCTACATCCGTTTTCTGTCTGACAGCTGAAAGGGAAATTTGTCCAGAGTGAACAACCTTTTTACTTCCTGCATCAAAACAGGTAAAAAACTCAAACCATATGAACATTTTGTTCTGTTTTAATGCGAAACAAAGATAAATAATATTTCTCTGAAGTTTATTTGATTTTAGAAAAGTTAAGAATAAAACAGCCGCAGTTTAAAGCAGAGCTTTTAATGCTTTAATGCGCAGAAACAGCAGCGGATCTGAGAGGTTTCTGCGGCTTTTCTGCAGATTCTGCGGGTTTTAACGTAGCTTCACTTCCGCGTTTCTCTCTAACAAGTTTCTCTGATTTTACTGGAAATATTTGATCTTATCTGATGTTTATGTTTGTTTTGACAACTGAAAAATATAGTTTAGAATGAGTTATTTTATTTTTGATTTCGATGTAAAACTCGTTTCATTGTCATGAAACCATTTTTATTAATAATCTGTAATAATGGAGCTTAAATAGACTTCAGACCAGGGGCGGATTTAAGAAATTTGGGGCCCTTAGCAAAGACAGGCATGGGGCCCTCTAATATAATAAGAAGGAAACATATAAAACAAAACAATTAAAAAGATACAGAAATATATTATATATTATTTGCTCTGTCTTTTTATCTAGTGATGCTGAGATGAAGCCTCATAGAACCGTTTGGCCAAATTGCTTCAATGATCCCCACAGTTCATGAGGCTCCATGTGAACATGCCACCACCTACTGGTGGAGGGCAGAACTACAGTTTGTAATATAATCTGGGATTTTAGCAGTTGTTTTTCCTTTTCCATTTGAAGGTGCAGTAGGAGATCTTTTCTGACGCATTTTTTTTTACCTTGTAGTACAGATCTCCCCACAGCCGCTTTGCAAGCATTGAAATAGAAGGTCTGGAAGTGAAACTAGAATAAATGCTCCCCGCTACAGTGAGAAATCAATGAATAACCCCAACCAATCAGAAAAGACGGTCCGTTTTACACGATTGGTTCCTGACACGTCAATCATGTTCGTCTGCTTGTCCCTCCCCCCTGTGCTCGTACCCTGACACATGGATCAATCGACCCCCCCAATACTCGTGCAGGACGCCATGGCTGGAAGCTATGGAGGACCGATCCTGCCATAATTAAAAATACCTACAGAAATAAATGAAGGACTTAATAATATAAAATAGCTTGAAAAAGTAGCTAATAATATATATTTATGTGCCACTAAATGTGACAAAATAATAAAAAGAAGATATTTCTTCAACAATTGATCAATTACTCATAAAAAAATATATATTTTAACTTACACTTTTATTTTTACTTTTCTTCTTGCTTTTATTCTGACTTATTTTTAATCCAATTCTTTTCTGTTATACATTTTTATTGAAGTCTTTATTTTGTTGTTGTGTATTTATGACAGGTGGGGTTTTTTTTTTTGTTCCGTATTTCAAATGCAACCTTTTTTTATTTCTTCGTATTTATTCACACCAACATTTTTAAAAGATGTTTTTATTTTTGTCTCATAATGATTTACACCACTACATTTTGAAATAACGTTTTTACTTCACCATTCCTTTTCATTTGGTTTTGACATCCTTGTATTTCTGAAACAGAGGCGTCCGAAGCCTCGCTACCGCCGTACCACATGACCGCTACAGGAAGTGGTTCAGATCACCTGGAACTTCAGCAGGCATTTTAAAAACCAGCCTTAGAATCTATCCAAACTCTGGCTGGTTCCCTACAATTCCTTTATAAACATCTAAAACATTCTTACTGTCATGGTTTGTGGACATTAAGATCTAAAGAGAAGCGCCATCTCCTGGTCAGACCCTGTAATTAACTGAAGGGTTGAGTCATAGTAAAAAAGTATGCAGGTCCAGGAGAAGGCCAGTGGCTGGAAGATGGAGGGGATTTCGCTGCCATTCCGCTGACTTTTAAAATGGGAGGGGCCATTCTGAATGGCTGCTACTGTATTAGCTGAGTGATGCTGATGGAGCATCATCATCATCATCATCATCACAGCCTGGCTGCATCATTCTTCAGCTCTCCCTGTTGTGTCCCATCCCGTCTCATTCTGAAAACAAACATAAATCACAGCATGCGGTGCTTTAATGGAAGTATATTTACTCAATTGCTAAAGTTGAAATTTGAGGATTTCCTGCAACTTTAATTCTGTCTATGTCGCTGTAACTCAGAGGAAACGTCTGCAATTTCTACTCTACCACTAAACCTATTATTATTGCAACAGGTGGAGATCTGTTCCCTGTTTAACTTCTTTTCTCATCCTCTCTGTTGCAGGATGGGCGTGTTTGACAACTGCTTCGTCCTTCTGGAGCTGAAAAATGTTCCGCTTAAGGAGAAGAAGAAGCTGAAGTCAGCCGTGACGATGAACGGAGGCAGCTTTTCTTTCATCGTCAATAAACAGGTGAGCCAGTTTTTAGCCACATTTTGACAACTCTGTGCCGTTATTGAACCAAATAGATTAACAGTCGGAGCAAAGCTTAAAGGTCATCAGTGATCAGAAGGAAAACCGTGTCACACATTTATCAATAAGCCTCATTTACCCTGTTTTTCAAAACCAGGCAGAGATCGGTCTGAGAACGGAACCCGAGATCACTGTTGAGTGCGAATGAGCGCCTCATCTCCATTAAAAGCAGTTTTAATATATTTTTGAGTATTTTATAGGACTGGATAAGTTTTATTTTATTTTATTTTTTGACTCTAAAACCTCTAATCTGGCCAGTGGCCACTAGAATCCATGTTTACTTAAAGCTTTCTTTCCAAAAGTCTTTTTCCTGTCCTGGCCCTTTTATTTCTTAAACCCAGCATTCATTATTCGACCCCGGATAAGCGGAGGAAGATGGATGGATGGATGGCTCAGACCCCCACATACCGGCTGTCGCTGGGAATCCCCAGCAGCAGCTGCCTCAGGCCCGGTTGCCTCTTGGGGGTTTCTCCCTACTGTTGGTGGCGGCTGGAAGTAGATGTTAGCGGTTTTCATGTGTGGCACCAGAATAATAACAGCAAACATATTTTGCTGGCAGGGTGTTGCTTAATGACGCAGTGGTTAGCACTGCTGCCTTGCAGCAAGAAGGTTTTGGGTTCGATTCCTGGCCTGGGGCCTTTCTGCATGGAGTTTTCATGCGTGGGTTCTCTCTGGGTACTCCCGCTTCCTCCCACAGTCCAAAAAATGACTGTTAGGTTAATTGGCTTCTCTATATTCTCCTTAGGTGTGAGTTTGTGTGTGAATGGTTTGTCCTGTTTGTCTCTGTGTTGTCCTGCGATGGACTGGCGCCCTGTCCAGGGCGGACCCCGCCTTTCTGGAGATAGACACCCCTCATGACCCTACTTGGGATAAGAGTGACGGAAAATGGATGAATGGATAACTTGTTTCCACATTTTATGTTAATTTAGGCGTTAATAAACAGTTTCAGTGTCCGTCTCCCTGCCAGCTCCCAAATCAGCTTCTCTGATTGGTTGATGTGGCGCATAGAGCGGCAAANCCTCCCAGATCTCCAGATGCATTTGAGATATCAAAAAAGTACTCCAGAGTGTTGTTCAGCATGGGGGTGAGTAGAAAATGAAGGCTAATCATGTTTTGGGGGTACTATTCCTTTAAGTTCTTATAAAAAAACAAATCCTAATGGCCACCAAGAGCTGAGCTGAATTTTTTATATATTTTTAAGTGAGAAATTTTGCCTGAAAACTTAATCTGTGCAGTCAGTTTATCAAGATTAAGTGAGCCGCTCAGACCCCCACATACCGGCTGTCGCTGGGAATCCCCAGCAGCAGCTGCCTCAGGCCCGGTTGCCTCTTGGGGGTTTCCCCCTACTGTTGATGTCGGCTGGAAGTAGATGTTATTGTTTTTCATGTGTGTAATCCATACTGCAGGCACCAGAAGCAGGGTGTTGCTTAATGAAGCAGTGGTTAGCACTGCTGCCTTGCCGCAAGAAGGTTTTGGGTTCAATTCCCGGCCTGGGGCCTTTCTGCATGGAGTTTTCATGCGTGGGTTCTCTCTGGGTACTCCTGCTTCCTCCCACAGTCCAAAAAATGACTGTTAGGTTAATTGGCTTCTCTATATTCTCCTTAGGTGTGAGTGTGTGTGTGAATGGTTTTTCCTGTTTGTCTCTGTGTTGTCCTGCGATGGACTGGCGCCCTGTCCAGGGTGGACCCCGCCTTTCCCCCAATGACTGCTGGAGATAGACACCCCTCATGACCCTGCTTGGGATAAGAGTGACGGAAAATGGATGAATGGATAGCTTGTTTCCACATTTTATGTTAATTTAGGCGTTAATAAACAGTTTCAGTGTCTGTCTCCCCGCCAGCTCCCAAATCAGCTTCTCTGATTGGTTGATGTGGCGCATAGAGCGGCAAAAATTCATTTTCTCCCAATCCAACGTCACCAACAAAATCAGCTGAATATGAGAAAAGAAATTGAAAGAAACCGACTCCAGGTCTAGAGAGTCCTAGAGAGCAGTAGTACCATAGATGGCCACTAGGAGGCGAGGAACCGAGCTAGCGTGGTGTGTAAACCGCCATAAGGAACTCGGCATGGATCGGTTTCAGAGAGTAGAGTTAGACATGCTGACAGCTGTCCTGGTTTTAACCAAGCAGCATCACTTTCTGCCTACATTTCCCACAGTGCTCTCTGGTGGTGACCACGGATGTGTCCAACCTGAGCTCCAACAGGCTGCGCAGCATCCAGAAGCACCAGACGCCGGTGGTCGGCTTGAATTACCTGCACGACTGCGTGGAGAGAGGAGCTCTTCTGCCCGTGGATGGATACCAGATGGACACTGCATCTGCTGCTTCATCTCCAGCTCCTCCACCTGTGCAGTTAGCGAGCAGAGCTCCGCTAGCTGCTGAAGGTCTGACCACATGCAGAGGAACCTGCTCTGTAGATGTCTGTAATTTCCTCTGAGTCTCTGAGCTGCTTCTCATGTAGAAACACCTCAGGGATGAAACAATACATCGATCAATATTTATTTATTATGAGGGATCTAATTACATAATAAAAATCCTCCTTAATACAAAACTAGGATAAATGGTGATGTTTTCCCCATTTTGATATTTCCCAGCAGCCCTTGCAGCTTCTCCAGCCTCACAGTTTATGATGGTTGCATGAATGAGTGGAGGAAAAAGGAGAAATAGATGTTGGTCTGAAAGACACTAAGCTACTGACTGTAACAGTTCATCATCACCTGTTAGGTTATTAAGTAGGCCTGCAGTTCAGGATTGATGTTTATCAGAATAACATTAGCAGTTATTATAGTAGAAAAGCTTTCTGCAGACGTTTGTGATGAACTTTGAAAACAGGAGATGAGCGTTTGGTCTAACGCGCATCCTGCTTTAGAAACCTGTGTCACTTATTATTCAGGAAGCACACACTTACTATTACGGAAGAGGAATAGGGCCACTGAAAAAAAAAAAAGAAGTTAACTGATTTTTAAATTTTATTTCAGTTTAACATGAGAAAAAAGTCAGAATTCTGAATTCTGTATCCATGCTATACTGAAATAAAATAAAAAAAATCAGTTAACTTTTTTTTTCAGTGGCCCTATTCCTCTTCCGTATACTATCCTTGTCTTGTTTTCTTTCTATTCTTATTTTATTCTTATCCTTATCTAATCTTCTTTAAGCGGTTGCACTGTAAGTGCCTAAGCTGTGATATAGATGCAAATGATTATATTAGATTGGTATATAGTTCTTGATTATACACTGGAAAAAATCAAAATCTAGAGTAATTTTTTCTTTAAAAAGGTGCATTTGTTCTTGGATTGAGGAGGTAAAAGAGACATCCTGCCCATTGAACAAGACAATTTACACTTAAAATAAGAAAACCCATTTG